AATGGGAAAATAAATAAACATAAATATGGGTTTTATTTACAATGGTGTTTGTTCTTCACTGGTTGCCCTTTTGTGGCAACAGGTCACAAATCTTGCAGCTGTGATGGCACACTGTGGTTTTTCACACAGTAGATAAGGGAGTTTATCAAAATTGGGTTTGTTTTCAAAATTCTTTGTGGATCTCTGTAATCTGAGGGAAGTATGTGTCTCTAATATGGTCATACATTTGGCAGGATGTTAGGAAGTGCAGCTTAGTTTCCACCTCATTTTGTGGGCAGTGTGCACATAATAATAATATGCCATTTAGCAGACGCTTTTATCCAAATTGACTTACAGTCATGTGTGCATACATTTTTACATATGGGTGGTCCCGGGGATCGAACCCACTATCCTGGCGTTACAAGCGCCACGCTATACCAATTGAGCTACAGAGGACCACACATAGCCTGTCTTCTCTTGAGAGCCAGGTCTGCCTACGGTGGCCTTTCTCAATAGCAAGGCTATGCTCACTGAGTCTGTACATATTCAAAGCTTTCCTTAAGTTTGGGTCAGTCACAATGGTCAGGTATTATGCCACTGTCTACTCTCTGTTTAGGGCCAAATAGCATTCTAGTTTGCTCTGTTTTTTTGATAATTCTTTCCAATGTGTCAAATAATTCTCTTTTTGTTTTCTCATGATTTTGTTGGGTCTAATTGTGTTGCTTTCCTGGGGCTCTGTGGGGTCTGTTTGTGTTTGTGAACAGAGTCCCAGGACCAGCTTGCTTAGGGGACTCTTCTCCAGGTTCATCTCTCTGTAGGTGACGGCTTTGTTATGGAAGGTTTGGGAATCACTTCCTTTTAAGTGGTGATGTTACGTATTTTATACAGGATAATAATAGTTAATGTTTGAAATATTGTGAGCTGCATAAGGATTTGGAGGATGAGGACATTCCATGTATTTATTTATGTCACTGGTGGGTGCCAGAAGGTATGCGGGCCAAGATAGCTGGGGGGCCACTGGTGCTAATCTTAGAAGGAGTACGTGATGGAATATCCTGACTAGGGAGCAACACGATACCATATAGGGTGATACTATTCTGGTGAGGAGTGACACTCAATAATGATTGGCAACTGTTGGATAGAATTAGCTTGCAAACAAGTATATAAGCTAAGCGATTTCCTTTGTTCAGTGAGTTCAGATAGCAGTGGGCCACCCACGTGCCGTTTGCTATGTGAACACGGTACCGCAATATTAAATACTTTGCATCAACTCTCCATGTAAGTGGTTTAAGTATCTTCTTGCATACTGCATTACTTGATGCCAGAGAACTCATCATTGGCTTTGAACGAACAGGATGCAGTTTACAGCCGAACTAACAATTAAGCAGACTTTCATTTTGTTTTATTACGTCAAATTCTGCTTATCTGTGGTAAATCTGAGCTGTAACGAACGCTTAAAATTCAATATTTTTTTGAGGGGAATAGATGAGTGGTATTCAAGTACATAAACAGATGTAAGGAGAAATATCAAATGAGACAATGACATGGTGCTATGATTCTGAACAGGGTTTGTTCAGAATAATGAGTTTAAAAGACAACAACAGAAGAAGGAAAGCGGGTTTAACAAGACTGGGTCTTTTAATGTGTATGACTTTATAAAGATAGCGAGTAGTGAGGTTTGAGTCCTTTGGTGTTGAATCATCATAAAGTGTGATAAAGAGGTTTGAGTCCTTTGGTGTTGAATCATCATAAAGTGTGATAAAGAGGTTTGAGTCCTTTGGTGTTGAATCATCATAAAGTGTGATAAAGAGGTTTGAGTCCTTTGGTGTTGAATCATCATAACGTGTGATAAAGAGGTTTGAGTCCTTTGGTGTTGAATCATCATAACGTGTGATAAAGAGGTTTGAGTCCTTTGGTGTTGAATCATCATAAAGTGTGATAAAGATGTTTGAGTCCTTTGGTGTTGAATCATCATAAAGTGTGATAAAGAGGTTTGAGTCCTTTGGTGTTGAATCATCATAAAGTGTGATAAATAGATTTGAGTCCTTTGGTGTTGAATCATCATAAAGTGTGATAAAGAGGTTTGAGTCCTTTGGTGTTGAATCATCATAAAGTGTGATAAAGAGGTTTGAGTCCTTTGGTGTTGAATCATCATAAAGTGTGATAAAGAGGTTTGAGTCCTTTGGTGTTTAATCATCATAAAGTGTGATAAAGAGGTTTGAGTCCTTTGGTGTTGAATCATCATAAAGTGTGATAAAGAGCTTTGAGTCCTTTGGCGTTGAATCATCATGAAGTGTGATAAAGAGGTTTGAGTCCTTTGGTGTTGAATCATCATAAAGTGTGATAAAGAGGTTTGAGTCCTTTGGCGTTGAATCATCATAAAGTGTGATAAAGAGGTTTGAGTCCTTTGGCGTTGAATCATCATAAAGTGTGATAAAGAGGTTTGAGTCCTTTGGTGTTGAATCATCATAAAGTGTGATAAAGAGGTTTGAGTCCTTTGGTGTTGAATCGTCATAAAGTGTGATAAAGAGGTTTGAGTCCTTTTGTGTTGAATCATCATAAAGTGTCATAAAGAGGTTTCAGTCCTTTGGAGTGTAAGAATCATCATGAAGTGCTAGTTTTGAGTAAAGTTTAGAGTCCTTTGTAAAAGCCCTATGAGAAAATTAGTCCTTTGTGAAATTACTCAAAACGGTCAGGAAAGAAGGAGAACAATAACTCATACGGCATAAAGAATCAGAGCAGATACAGTTGAAGTCGGAGGTTTACATACACCTTAGCCAAATACATTTAAACTCAGTTTTTCACAATTCCTGACATTTAATCCTAGTAAGAATTCCCTGTCGTAGGTCAGTTAGGATCACCACTTTATTTTAAAATGTCCGAATAATAGTAGAGAGAATGATTTATTTCAGTTTTTATTTCTTTCATCACATTCCCAGTGGGTCAGAAGTTTACATACACTCAATTAGTATTTGGAAGCATTGCCATTCAATTGTTTAACATTGGTCAAACGTTTCGGGTAGCCTTCCACAAGCTTCCCACAATAAGTTGGGTGAATTTTGGCCCATTCCTCCTGACAGAGCTGGTGTAACTGAGTCAGGTTTGTAGGCCTCCTTGCTCGCACATGCTTTTTAAGTTCTGCCCACAAATGTTCTATAGGATTGAGGTCAGAGCTTTGTGATGGCCACTCCAATACCTTGACTTTGTTGTCCTTAAGCCATTTTGCCACAACTTTGGAAGTATGATTGGGTTCACTGTCCGTTTGGAAGACCCATTTACGACCAAGCTTTAACTTCCTGACTGATGTCTTGAGATGTTGCTTCAATATATCCACATACATTTCCTTCCTCATGATGCCATTTATTTTGTGAAGTGCATCAGTGCACTTTGTCCCCATGTGCAGTTGAAAACCGTAGTCTGGCTTTTTTATGGCAGTTTTGGAGCAGTGGCTTCTTCCTTGCTGAGCGGCCTTTCAGGTTATGTCGATATAGGACTTGTTTTACTGTGGATATAGATACCTTTGTACCTGTTTCCTCCAGCATCTTCACAAGGTCCTTTGCTGTTGTTCTGGGGTTGATTTGCACTTTTTGCACCAAAGTACGTTAATCTCTAGGAGACAGAACGCGTCTCCTTCCTGAGCGGTATGACATCTGCGTGGTCCCATGGTGTTTATACTTGCGTACTATTGTTTGTACAGATTAACATGGTACCTTCAGGCGTTTGGAAATTGCCCAAGGATGAACCAGACTTGTGGAGGTCTACAATCTTTTTTCTGAGGTCTTGGCTGATTTATTTTGATTTTCCCTTGATGTCAAGCAAAGAGGCACTGAGTTTGAAGGTAGTCCTTGAAATACATCCACAGGTACACCTCCAATTGACTCAACTGCTGTCAATTAGTCTATCAGAAGCTTCTAAACCATGACATAATTTTCTGGAATTTTCCAAGCTGTTTAAAGACACAGTCAACTTAGTGTATGTAAACTTCTGACCCACTGGAATTGTGATACAGTGAATTATAAGTGAAATAATCTGTCTGTAAACAATTGTTGGAAAAACACGACTTGCCAAAACTATAGATTGTTAACAAGAAATGTGTGGAGTGGTTGAAAAACAAGTTTTAATGACTCCAACCTAAGTGTATGTAAACTTCCGACTTCAACTGTATGAACTGGTTGTCTTAGAAGATCAAAATCTTGATTGGCTTACACATGTCTCAGATCAGTTTAACAATATCTATCTTGAGTTCAACTTGACTCAGCTGATAACGAAACTCACGCGGATTAATGTAAAAAACCTAGCAAACTCCTCATTGATTGACCTTATCCTGACTAACCGTCCCCTTAAGTATTTGGCTAGTGGTGTTTTTTCAAATGATATCAGCGACCACTGCCCTATTTCTTGCATTAGAGATACCAACTTGAAAATCTCTGACCCTCGTATAATTGTGAAGAGAAATGTTAAGAAATTCTCATCCCAGGCGTTCCTTCATGATCTATAATATTCAGTCCCAGGCGTTCCTTCATGATCTATATTATTCAGTCCTGTTGTCTACTAGCTGCATACTAGACCCTGTTTTGGAGCTTGAATTATTCTCATCCATTTTTACCTCTCTGGCTGATAAACATGCCCCTTTCAAGTGACTCAGATTACAAAACCCAAACTAATCCATGGCACTCTCCTGTACTCTCAGAACTCCTCTTGTTAAGAACCCAAGCCTGGGCTGAGGCTAGACGAACTGGCTCGTTAGTTGTTTGGCAGCTATTTAGTAAATTGAGAAATAGGTCCACTGCCTCGGTTAAACAGGCCAAATCAAACTGCTTCCTTAGTGCTACGACAGACTCTGTTAGTGATCCCTCAAAATTCTGGAAAACCGTTAATTCACTGATGCGGTGTAATTCCTCTACTTCAGCCTCCAGTTGACTGTTCTTCATACAGCCTCCAGTTGACTGTTCTTCATACAGCCTCCAGTTGACTGTTCTTCCCACATACAGCCTCCAGTTGACTGTTCTTCCCACATACAGCCTCCAGTTGACTGTTCTTCATACAGCCTCCAGTTGACTGTTCTTCCCACATACAGCCTCCAGTTGACTGTTCTTCCCACATACAGCCTCCTGTTGACTGTTCTTCCCACATACAGCCTCCTGTTGACTGTTCTTCATACAGCCTCCAGTTGACTGTTCTTCATACAGCCTCCAGTTGACTGTTCTTCCCACATACAGCCTCCTGTTGACTGTTCTTCCCACATACAGCCTCCGGCTGACTGTTCTTCCCACATACAGCCTCCAGTTGACTGTTCTTCATACAGCCTCCAGTTGACTGTTCTTCCCACATACAGCCTCCTGTTGACTGTTCTTCATACAGCCTCCAGTTGACTGTTCTTCATACAGCCTCCAGCTGACTGTTCTTCCCACATACAGCCTCCGGCTGACTGTTCTTCCCACATACAGCCTCTAGTTGACTGTTCTTCATTCAGCCTCCAGTTGACTGTTCTTCCCACATACAGCCTCCGGCTGACTGTTCTTCCCACACACAGCCTCCAGTTGACTGTTCTTCCCACATACAGCCTCCGGCTGACTGTTCTTCCCACATACAGCCTCTAGTTGACTGTTCTTCCCACATACAGCCTCCAGTTGACTGTTCTTCCCACATACAGCCTCCAGTTGACTGTTCTTCCTACATACAGCCTCCAGTTGACTGTTCTTCCCACAAACAGCCTCCAGCTGACTGTTCTTCCCACATACAGCCTCCTGTTGACTGTTCTTCCCACATACAGCCTCCAGTTGACTGTTCTTCCCACATACAGCCTCCAGTTGACTGTTCTTCCCACATAAAGCCTCCTGTTGACTGTTCTTCCCACATACAGCCTCCAGTTGACTGTTCTTCCCTCATACAGCCTCCAGCTGACTGTTCTTCCCACATACAGCCTCCAGTTGACTGTTCTTCCCACATACAGCCTCCAGTTGACTGTTCTTCCCACATACAGCCTCCTGTTGACTGTTCTTCCCACATACAGCCTCCAGTTGACTGTTCTTCCCACATACAGCATCCAGCTGACTGTTCTTCCCACACACAGCCTCCAGCTGACTGTTCTTCCCACATACAGCCTCCAGTTGACTGTTCTTCCCACATACAGCCTCCAGTTGACTGTTCTTCATACGGCCTCCAGTTGACTGTTCTTCCCACATACAGCCTCCAGCTGACTGTTCTTCCCACATACAGCCTCCAGCTGACTGTTCTTCATACAGCCTCCAGCTGACTGTTCTTCCCACATACAGCCTCCAGTTGACTGTTCTTCCCACATACAGCCTCCAGTTGACTGTTCTTCCCACATACAGCCTCCGGCTGACTGTTCTTCCCACATACAGCCTCCAGTTGACTGTTCTTCCCACACACAGCCTCCAGTTGACTGTTCTTCTCACATACAGCCTCCAGTTGACCGTTCTTCCCACATACTGCCTCCAGTTGCCTCGATGGATGATCAGTCAACCTCATGTGACTTGGGCTTTTCTTTTTGGCAACTCATAGGAACAGAAGTTCTTGCTGCCTTATTAGCTATTGATACCAAGAAGTCATTAGGGGCTGACAATTTAGATCTGTCTTTGCTTAAGTATGCAGCGCCCCTCATTGCTGGCTCAGTAACACACATTCTTTATTTAACTTTTATGTCATGAAATATTCCAAAAGTGGAAAGCAGCTTTTGTGCTGCCACTCCATAAGGGTGGGGATAGTAGTGATCTTGATAATTATTGACGCATTTCCAGGCTCCCTTGTCTTGCAGCAATCCTAGAATCATTGGTCAACAAACAGCTACGTTATTTTCCATCTGTAAATGATATTCTTAATGTTAATCAATGTGGATTCAGACTTAAACATAGTACCACTACGTCTACCATGTTGCAAAGGTCTTGATGATAGAAAGAATTGTGCTGCAATGTTTGTAGACTCGCCAAAAGCTTTTGATAATTTTTAGATGTATATTTTGAATCGCCCATAAGTTTGAAAAAAATCATGATGATTTTTAGGCCATATCGCCCAGCCCTAGGATGAGTGAGGGGATGGATGGAGGGGTGAGGAGGGTGTTGACAGGATGGAGAATGACGGGGGAGGGGGGGGGGGGGGGGGGGGGGGTCATTGAGAGTGACAACATGGGGTGAGGAGAGGAGGGGGGTCTTATATCACAGCTGTTCCACTGTCAGAGAGAATGCACAGCAGAGACAGAATGAACAAGGGGAATAAAGAGGAAACAGAAAAAGGAGAATGCATGAGACATTCAGGAAATGAGGCACTCGCACACAGAGGTTAAGCTTGATTACAATGGCGCCGGAGGGGATGGCTGCCGTTTTACAGGCTCCTAACCAATTGTGCTATTTTGTGTGTTTTTTCGCATTGTTTGTAACTTATTTTGTACATAATGTTGCTGCTACCGTCTCTTATGACCGAAAAGAGCTTCTGGACATCAGAACAGCGATTACTCACCTCGAACTGGACAAAGATGTTTTATTTAATGAGTCTGACGCGAAGGACATACTGCTTCTCCGAGACCAGGCCCAAATCCCAGTCATTCACATGAAGAAAAGACGGAAAAGAGACACAGAGAGAGAGAGAGAGAGAGAGAGAGAGAGAGAGGAGAGAGAGAGAGAGAGAGAGACAGAGAGAGAGAGAGATAGAGAGAGAGAGAGAGAGAGAGAGAGAGAGAGAGAGAGAGAGAGAGAGAGAGGAGATATTGATTTCTCTGAGGGCAGTCAGTGACCAACAACCGTCTCTCTCACACCCTGTTATGGTTACGTCCTTTCTCACTGCCTCAAATACACTAACATACAGGATGCCATGGTATGATCCTTTCATCTATAGTCATTATTAAACACTAACATACAGGAAGCCATGGGATGATCCTTTCATCTATAGTCATTATTAAACACTAACATACAGGAAGCCATGGTATGATCCTTTCATCTATAGTCATTATTAAACACTAACATACAGGAAGCCATGGTATGATCCTTTCATCTATAGTCATTATTAAACACTAACATACAGGAAGCCATGGTATGATCCTTTCATCTATAGTCATTATTAAACACTAACATACAGGAAGCCATGGTATGATCCTTTCATCTATAGTCATTATTAAACACTAACATACAGGAAGCCATGGTATGATCCTTTCAGACTGCTCAAGGATTATTTGTGCTACTACAAACTTTGTCCACTCTTTCTATCTGACTAGTCAAAGAAATAGTCATATATGGTCATACATAGTTATATATAGTTATACACTGCTCAAAAAAATAAAGGGAACACTGAAATAACACATCCTAGATCTGAATGAATGAAATAATCTTATTAAATACTTTTTTCTTTACATAGTTGAATGTGCTGACAACAAGGTCTGGATTTGGAGTCACCCTCAAAATTAAAGTGGAAAACCACACTACAGGCTGATCCATCTTTGATGTAATGTCCTTAAAACAAGTCAAAATGAGGCTCAGTAGTGTGTTTGGCCTCCACGTGCCTGTATGACCTCCCTACAACGCCTGGGCATCCGCCAACTCCTGGACAGTCTGTGGTGCAACGTGGCGTTGGTGGATGGAGCGAGACATGATGTCCCAGATGTGCTCAATTGGATTCAGGTCTGGGGAACGGGCGGGCCAGTCCATAGCATCAATGCCTTCCTCTTGCAGGAACTGCTGACACACTCCAGCCACATGAGGTCTAGCATTGTCTTGCATTAGGAGGAACCCAGGGCCAACCGCACCAGCATATGGTCTCACAAGGGGTCTGAGGATCTCATCTCGGTACCTAATGGCAGTCAGGCTACCTCTGGCGAGCACATGGAGGGCTGTGCGGCCCCCCAAAGAAATGCCACCCCACACCATGACTGACCCACCGCCAAACCGGTCATGCTGGAGGATGTTGCAGGCAGCAGAACATTCTCCACGGCGTCTCCAGACTCTGTCACATCTGTCACGTGCTCAGTGTGAACCTGCTTTCATCTGTGAAGAGCACAGGGCGCCAGTGGCAAATTTGCCAATCTTGGTGTTCTCTGGCAAATGCCAAACGTCCTGCACGGTGTTGGGCTGTAAGCACAACCCCCACCTGTGGACGTCGGGCCCTCATACCACCCTCATGGAGTCTGTTTCTGACCGTTTGAGCAGACACATGCACATTTGTGGCCTGCTGGAGGTCATTTTGCAGGGCTCTGGCAGTGCTCCTCCTGCTCCTCCTTGCACAAAGGCGGAGGTAGCGGTCCTGCTGCTGGGTTGTTGCCCTCCTACGGCCTCCTCCACATCTCCTGATGTACTGGCCTGTCTCCTGGTAGCGCCTCCATGCTCTGGACACTACGCTGACAGACACAGCAAACCTTCTTGCCACAGCTCGCATTGATGTGCCATCCTGGATGAGCTGCACTACCTGAGCTACTTGTGTGGGTTTTAGACTCCGTCTCATGCTACCACTAGAGTGAAAGCACCGCCAGCATTCAAAAGTGACCAAAACATCAGCCAGGAAGCATAGGAACTGTGAAGTGGTCTATGGTCACCACCTGCAAAACCACTCCTTTATTGGGGGTGTCTTGCTAATTGCCTATAATTTCCACCTGTTGTCTATCCCATTTGCACAACAGCATGTGAAATGTATTGTCTATCAGTGTTGCTTCCTAAGTGGACAGTTTGATTTCACAGAAGTGTGATTGACTTGGAGTTACATTGTGTTGTTTAAGTGTTCCCTTTATTTTTTTGAGCAGTGTACATAGTTATACCTAGTCATACACAGTCATACACAGTCATACACACACCCTCCCCCCATCATTACACACACCTGCTCTCCCTCATTACACACACCTGGTCCCCATGATTAGACACACCTGGTCCCCATGATTAGACACATCTGGTCCCCATGATTAGACACATCTGGTCCCCATGATTAGACACATCTGGTCCCCATGATTAGACACATCTGGTCCCCATGATTAGACACATCTGGTCCCTATGATTAGACACATCTGGTCCCCATGATTAGACACACCTGGTCCCCATGATTAGACACATCTGGTCCCCATGATTAGACACACCTGGTCCCCATGATTAGACACATCTGGTCCCCATGATTAGACACATCTGGTCCCCATGATTATGCACATCTGGTCATCATTATGTCCTTGATTACTCCCCCATTATTTATCCCTCAGTCACTAGCTAGTTGTTTTCTCTCACACTATGTACACTTCTCATGTTAGGGCTGGGCGATATATTGAATTCATTCAAATGTATGTTTTGCGTGGTATTCCAAAGACCTGTATTTCAAGAATCAAGGTTTTTGTTATTTTTTGTTTTTATGAGCGTTTATGGCTCTTATTTACTTGTTCTCATGTTGTCTTTTTGGTCTCATCTCCTTCGCTCCTTCTGTGCTGTGTGCACACACAGACACAGCCCCTCCCCCTGCCACTCACAACAACAAAGATGAGAGATCACTTCTTCCTCTCTGACAAGCGGTTTTGCATTTAGTAAGCTGCTTGTTGGTAAGCAAATGCTGTTGCTAGCTGTCTCAATTTACTGCTCGTTTCTACAGCACCAACTTGTGAGTTGGTCATCTCCCGCTCGTATCCTGGATCCTCCTCTTTCTCTCCGTTGGCCGTGCTGGTGTGTGACTCAAGTGTGTGTTGCTTGTGTGTTTGCCATTTCATTGGCTGTGCGTGTTTCGGGAGGCTGGGTGAAGGCTGAATTTGCGAACCCACTGTAGCTCATAGCAAACCTTTAGTAAATTCCTGTCAAGAAGAGATACACAGAAGCACAGCTAGGCTAGCTAGCCTGTGTTTTCAAATGGAGGACGCTAACAAACATTTTCAATGCTGCAGGAGCTGAATTTATGCTCTATTCTTGGACAATGTGGACCGTCCAGACTTTCAATGTAGCAACTGTTTGCTGGCAAAGGACTACAGGGGCGAAGTGGATACTCTTAGCAAACAAGTAGTGAACTTACACAAGGTACTGGGGAATCCACACCCGCCAACTTTCTCTTCTATTCCAGTAGCTGGAGGCTGCTCTGGCCTGGTGGGAGCGTCGCTGCCGTGTCGTCTCACCACAGTCGACTGGCCAGTGCTCTGCAGGGATCCCTCCCCGAAGGGTCTCCCCCCTTCCCTGGGGAATGCCGTTAGTAGGATGCTTCTAGATTACTTAGTGGATGTTCCTAGTTTACCAACCTGCCATGGAGGCACGTCACTTGCCATGGAAGTCGAAATCAGCTGCCTTTGGCAATTGGGAAGCCTCCTTGGCGGTGGGAAGCCCGGACCGGATAAAGACTTTAAACAGCTTTCCCACCCTGGATCCAGAGGTTCCGGCGCATTCATCCCTGGGGCCTTCCACTTCGAGATCGGATCCGGATCCTGCGCCTTAGTCCCCTGTTCTGTCTCCCTCTCCAGTGGCTTCTACGTTGAATGAGGC